ATGAGTGGATGACATGATCTAGTTGTGGATGGCATGACTTTGTTTTGCAGTATCCATTTCTTGAAAATATGAAATGTCTTTGTCAGGCTCGGGTAATTTTCCTTTCAACTGTTATGACTGAAGTTACTGGAAGTTTTTAGCCTGTAAGTAAAATGAGTTTTATTTTTCCATTGAACTTTTGATGAATGTGTGTGCTTTCTCTCTGTAAAACACTTTCTTACTCAAACTTCCTGTGCTTGAGTGAATAATATGTGGATAGGCTATAGAATTAGGTCAGTATGCAAATTTCAGGATTAGATTTACAGATATATAAGTTGATGATACTGACATATATGTTGGAAATTTATGTTCCATTCCCTCTTGTATCCACCTGGGGTCTTGTAATTTTAGCCTAATTCACTCATAGTATCTTAATACTACAAATGTATCTTGAAGTGAGAAGGGACTTTTCAATGATGTGAATTTCAGATGTCTCACTTATATCAGGGGTTCTGTGGTCACTGAGCTGTTGAGGGAAAGGATCAATCAAACTGGAAAAGGAGGTAAATTGTGCTGGATTTGTGAGGAACTGAAATAGCTGTCTCATTCCCATAAATGGGAAAAATAGGAAGAGAAACCTTGTATGAACCCTTTTCCTTCTAAGACAGAGGAACGTGTGAAGTGTCTGTTTTTCCACCGAACAGGACGCAGATTTCCAGGATTATACCACAGAGCATTTCTCAGTAGGAGAAAGCTGGTGGATGAGGCAGCTGGGTGGAATTTGAGGATAAGAGAGTCCTGCAGTGTGCAGGAACTGCCAAATGCCTTGATATCTTAATGCCTGCATTTATCTGATCCATAATTTAAAGTAGCAACTAATGTTTAGAGTTATGGCACTGTTACAAAATATATTTAAATATGCAAAACTCTGTGGGTTTTTTCCGCTCTTGACATCTATACAATCTTGGTAATTAAACTAATGGTGGTGTGCTAATGCTACCAAAAAAATATTTGTCTAGTGCTCTGGCAATAACGAGGAAAAAGAAGAGGGTTGTACTTTGCAGTTAATGGAAGAGACCGATCCATGCCAAGAACATGGTGACTAAATTAAAGTCATTTCTATAATGAAGTTAATTTTAGTAATTTCTATAATGATCATTGTCTTTTTGTTGTTAAACTTATCCTTTTTTTGCTCAGTATTCTGAGGAATAATGAATGAAAGTGGGAGGAAAACAATGTTGTTACTATGAGGTTGGTTTTCTGCCCCCTCCCCACTCTTTCAGAAACTGCCTTCCTAATAGGAGAAAGTAGATTTTCCATGGTAACACAAGAAAAGTTACTTGTCTAAATGTTTTGCTGTTAGCAGTCAGTCCTACACTGCTGCCGAAAAAGATCTAGTTCTCTGTGCTCTCTCTTTTTAGACTGTAGATACTAGTGTTCAAAGAGGGCTCTGTTGGAGTCTGTCTTTACTCCCCGAGCCCCATTTTTCACAGGGATGGATGGAGAAGATGAAGCAGAATAAATATGTTCACGAAGAGATCTTTTTTGCATTTCATGGCATTAGGTGGTGCATCCCTATAAATGTGGGTGCTTCTGACCATGACAGTTACAGTGCCATTAGAGTGATGCTTTAGTGATCTTTAAAATTCTGTTCTCTTAATTGAACTGATCTCAAGAACATTCTCTTGCTTTCTGGAAAAATAACTTACACTGCAATTTAAAATGTCTTACTTTTGCTTGCCCCACAGGACACTTAGGGTTTTTTTTCTTTCAAAGCCACTTTTAGTTGTTTCCTTCCCTGATGGTACCTATCGAGCAAAGTGTTTGATCACTGTTTGTGTGTTTGCCAGCATTAGGGCGGTCTGGCTTTTAAGGACAGCATAGTTCCTTCAGTAGAATTCTTCCAGCAAAACCCAGAGTAACTCCCTTATTCTCAAGAAAGATTTATATCCCACTCAATAAGGAAGAAAAAAACTTTAGAGAGTAATGGATTCTGTTGATGTAACTAAGAGCAATAACTGTACTTACCATCAGGGCTTGTCGTTAATGTGTTTGTGTTACTGTCCAATACCTGTTGCTAGCAGGTTTTATACATTTATTTAAATAAATACAAGCAATTTCAGATCTGAGGATAAATGTTGTGGGGTTTTATAGTGTGATATTTAATGTATTATGGAGTCCGATCTTCTATATAAGAGATAGTATATTTGACTTTCAGATTTTGTCTGTAAAAGGTATCATGAACATACACAATAGCCTGGGAATATTGAAAAACAGAAAAGACGGAATAAAAACAAATAGTATGTAACTCTAATTTCTAACCAAAAGCTTTTACTACAAGGTAAATTTGGTGCCAATATTTAAGGTATGCCTGAAAATTCAGCTGCTTAAAACCTCAGAATGAAATGTGAAACAGGAAACCTTTTGCTTTCTTATATTTTACACATATATTTCCAATTGAAGTAAAATACCTCTTTGCTTTTAATAAGTGTAACTGTAATTTCAGCAGAAAGAAAATCATGGATTAATACTTAGGTGATTTTTCTTCAAAGGTATCACCCAAGCACTTTTCCCTCTTGTACAGTATTGTCAGTGAGATCACAAAATTTCATTTACTGCTGTCAGAAATGTAACTAAACTCCTCCCTCCATCCCTCCCCCAGGTATCGCAATACATAAGAAAACTTTCTGCGTGGGAGATGGCCAGGAAGCAAGGATGTTCTTGGGAACAGAATGGTGAAGGTGAGAAAACAAAGACTTTCTGTCTCTTTGGAGATAAAAGCCAGACAACATGAGCTTCAGAAAGCAGTGTGAAGGTTTTTTATTTTGAAGAGAATGTTGAAAGTATTTTGGTTTTGCTAAATATTTTTATACTCTGTGAAATCTCAATTGCCTATTTTCCTAATTTATATCTATGTGAATTTGATCAAAATATTCAGGGATGTGTGTGTACCAGTGTGTGTCTATACATATATAAATATGTACACATAGGTTTTTAAGTCTTAGATGTGGTTTTATTTGAGGTACAGGGAGCATCTGCATAAGCAAATGTGCCTTTAATATAGAATCACTATATGGCTGTAAATATGTAGCTCTTCCTGTAACACCCATGTGTCAGGAAAACGTTTTACTAAACACTGATATATTTCTCAAATTCATTACTGACTGCTTTTTGTCTTGTTTTGTTGTTTCAGCTTATGCATGGCATTTCTGAAATCAGCTGCAGTACTGTTTAATCTTAGTTATACTCATCTTGACATAGTGAATTTTCTTTACCTACACAAGTCTGGAATGTTTTTCTTACAAAAATGCTGGTGGGTGATTTTTTTCAGGATGTTTAAGAAGTGCACAGTCCAGCCTGTTGCATACATTTCTGATTCTGGAAGTAATGAGTGATTATATTATAGCATATTGTATTATATTGCATATTATTATTTGGATCTTTTGAATAACTTTGTATATTACATTTGTTAAAAAGACAAACCAAACCAAACAACACTCCCCAAAGAACCCCCCACCCAAGCAACCAAGTGGTAGATATTTATCCAAACAATCCAAACGCAAAGTTTTTGTGGTTTGAGGGAGCAAGTGTGAAGTAGAGAATGAAGGACAAAGTGCTAGTTGGAAGAACTGGCCGTGCTTATTTGAAACAGCAGTAGTCCTTTAGAACGTCCAAGTTTGATTTTATAAAGGACTAAAATCTCTTAGATCTGCTGATAACTGTTGAGATCTAAATAAAGAAAATTGTGATCAGAGAGCAGAAATATTTACTCGTTACGAAAACTGAGTAGGTGATAGTTGTAGCTTTTGGCAAGGTATTGTACAGCATAGAAAAGAGAGTTTTGTCTGTCCTGTTTCCTAAGGTGTTGCTCTGAGCTGCTTTCTCATTTTTTCTTCTTCCAGAATAAGAAACGAACATATCTTTATTCCTCTGCAGAAGAATTCACTGAATGCATCCTAAAACCAAACTAAGCAGTCAGTTTATTCTTTATTTTTTCAGATCCAGGTGCTCACAGGAAATATTCGGTGAGTGGCTCTTGAAAAGGGAATGGATAGAAATAATTTGGGACGCAGAAGTGGTTAGAATGTGTGCTGAAACTAGATTGAAACATAAATAAGGACATTTTTATGTTTATGTTCCTTCTAGTTTTCCTATCTCGAGAAACTCCTAAAAATGCCCCTTACTGACTTTGCTTGTGTTTTACTGTGCAGTTCTATGAGTTTAAATTGCACTTTTATGGACTGTTGGAGATCTAATGGTCAATAGTTTGATTGCTGTTACCTTACCACTCTTAAACGGAACTCTTTGTGCCTTTAGAGAGCTGAAAGGAGTTTTGGAATTCAAAATAAGCAGAATCAAATGAAAGAGTTGTGTATAAGGCTTGAATTTGTATTTTGTTTTTCAATCCAAAAGTCTAAATCTGTTAGTTATCATCTCTAGTGATAAGTCATTACCCCAGGAAACATCTTGTAAATTGTGTCTCTAACACTCTGTATTAATAGATTCATTTTTGGCATTACTTTGCTGCTCTAGCAAATTGTCCCAAAGCCCAGCTTTTCTCTTAAGAAAGTTTAATAGCAAATTGTACTTTAGTAGTGCTCAGTGTCTGCTTCATTTAATGACTTGTTGTTCACCCCTTTCTATTGCTTTGCACGTCATTTGTTCAGTAAATTTAATCAGTCTGTGTGGAATTCCTCGGGTTTTGACTTGAAAAGCTACTGTGTCATTTTTGCAGTATCCAAAGTCAGCCTTAAGCCAGTTAGACTGACCTCAAAGCAGGGCTAGCTATGCACACTGAGTTCACTTCCTCTCAAGAGGAGAGAAAGAAGTAATTTCCATTTAAAAGCAAAAGTTGAATTTGAAGCTGTGTTTTTGTATCCCTGATCCTGCTGAGAGTGGTACTTCAGAAACTGAAGGTCCCCTCAGTGCATTTGTTGAGGTGTTTGTATAAGGCACGAACCCCACTCTGCACTCTGGCCGAGTGCTGGAGTGAGATTAACTTTATTACAAAAGGTAGCAGTTTAAATACAGCGTTCAAACGTGCCACATGATCTCTCAACCGATGACAATCAAGTATTTCATTGAGCATGCGTGAGAGCCCGGAAAACTACAAATCCCATAATTCTTTATTACATGTTTCCTGCCACAATTTGTATCTGTTACTGATGGACCACTGTCTGCTGCGGGACCAGAGATATCAACACGTGGTGCAGCATTTTCAATTCTTAATTGAATTTAAATGGGAATTTCCTTCATGTCCTCTACTGGAAAGAGCAGATCTGGACTCGAGCATTGTATCTGCCTCAGCAGCCTACTTTAGGTAGTGTGTTGTTACAATTTCCTTGTAGCTACACGCCCCCAAGTTTGTTCTCCCAGGTTCTAGAAGAAATCGCATTCAGTTGTCCTTCAGCTACCTCTGGGAATGCTGCTTCTGTGTTTTCCCTCCCAGAATCAGTAACTAGGGAGACTTTTCTGTCTAATGCAAAGACTGAAATTATTTCTAAGGGTAACACTTTACCTCAGTGTCTTGACTTAAAAATTCAGCTGGTTCAGCAGCCTGTGACGAGGTGGCTGAGTTCAGCTGAGCTTCAGGAATTCCGAGTAGTCACTCTGTCTTTTTAAAACGATTTAGCCATCTGTATCACAAGGATTTTTTTCAGTCCCATATTCTTAACTTCCTCTTTCCTAACCCAAGTCACAACCTGTAAATACTTGGCAGCTGTTGAAAGGCCAAAAAGTCTGTTGTTCTCTATGAGCACTAGTATGTGGCTGGTACAGGCCTGTTGAAGAAATCCTCTCACATTGTCCATGAATGCTTGTTCAATTATGACTTCTGGTCACTGTTGCTGAAGGGAATGTCTAAGGATTTTTTGCTCTTGATCACTGCTTTTGTCAGATTCAGTCTTCACTTTTTTTTCAAAACTTCAGCTCCCGAATCCTTAATACTAAAACAATGTTTGCATTTGCTAAAACAGTTTTCTTTGCTTCATTTATTACAGTCAGTATAGCTCTCTAAAAGCTCAGTCTCTCTGTTGTCCTTAAAATTGTTTTGAAGATCAAATCGATCATCTTTGAATTATAAAAAGTTAAAAAAAAAAAAAATCTTGTTTTCACTTTATCTTTTGAGCTTTCAATTGGAAATGGGTCTGTGTGGTTTGGCAAAGTACCAGTTCTTTGGTTATATGCTTCCATTTTGTTACCATGGCAAATTCTGATCTCTGAGCTGTGGTTCCTGATCAGATCTGAACTTGCTTGTAAAGTCCCAGAGGAGGAAAAGAAAAACCACCCAAGTCCCATAAACCCAAATAAAATCATTGGGCAAAGATAATTGTTTGCATATTCTTTTTAAAGAAATATATTGGCATCTGAAGAAGAGAGCTGTAATTACAAGAGGGTATTGATTCTCTAACACATATGGTCCATAAGTGAGCTCCCAAGACAGAAATAGCACAGCTGGACCTCAGCAATCAAAAATGCAGAGTGTTTCAAAGAATTAGGTGTTGATCTTTGTTGGGTTTGTTTTACATTATTCTTTCTTTTAAATGAATGAGCTTCTAGTGGGTTTTGCCTTATATCCTGGGTGTATCAGAGCAAACACAGGGGTGGCCTCACATGGGGCACTGCGTGCAGTTCTGGGCCCTACAATTTAGAAAGGATGTGAAGGTCCTTGAATGCACCCAGAGGAGGGCAAAAAGGCTGGTGGGAGGGCTGGAAGGAATGTCCTGTGAGGAGGGGCTGAGGGCTTTGGACTTGTCTAGTTTGGAGAAGAGGAGGCCAAGGGGTGACCTTGACACTCTCTACAGCTTCCTGAGGAGGGGAAGTGGAGAGGGAGGTGCTGAGCTTCTCTCCCTGGTATCCAGTGACAGCATGTGTGGGAATGGTACAAAGCTGCACTGGGGGTGGGTTTGGGTGAGACATTAGGAAGCATTTCTTTCCCAAGAGAGTGGTTGAACACTGGAACAGGCTTCCTAGAGGGGTGGTCCATGCCCCAAGCCTGTCAGTGCTCAAGAGGACAGTGCCCTTAGGAACAGCTTTACCATGGTCAGCCCTGAATTGCTCAGACAGTTGCACTGGATGGTTGTTTTGGGTCCCTTCCAACTGAAATTCCTCTTCTGCTCTATTCTATTCTCTTTTGATGTGGGGTTTCATAGAAGTCAGAAATCATTTATCTAATAGATAGTAGTTTAAAGTTGTGCATTATTTCTGTTATTTTCTAATTGCTTGTAGCTTTTTTTCTTCAATTGCCTCTAGCACTGGAAACAAACCTTCAGAAGGGAAAATGGATCACTGGTGTTGGCCATCAGACACCAACAGCTTTCGACGTTTCACCCCTGAGTCCTTGGCAGCAATTGAGCAAAGAATTGCTGAGAAAAAAAAGCAGCCAGAGAAAGAAAAAGAGAAGCATAATTATGAAGGAGTTGAAGAACAACTTACTCCCCAGCTTGATCTACAAATCTGCAAAAAGCTGCCATCTCTTTATGGGGACATTCCATCAGAGCTCATTGGGGAACCCCTGGAGGATTTTGATCCGTACTACAGTGATCACAAGGTTAAAACTTCCAAAAGCATTTCTTTGATTTAACTTTGTCTGCTGAACTCTTAAGAGATAGTAAAAGCTCTAGTTGGGAGACTCTGGGCTTTGATTGTTCTGCAGACAGGTCTTTTGACATTCCTGACATCTTTCGGGGCAGGAGTGCTAAGGTGTGCTCTGCTTTATGCCATGAAGAGGTATCTTCAGTTCCAATCAGCAGTCAGATTTAATGATGAGGACATAATATACATGATTGATACACTTCTACAGGAAATATATTCTTGGATAAGGGATGCTTTGTTTTGCAGAGCAATTCCTATGATGCCTGGGAGGCTGAACTGCCTGTGGTATAAAGAGTACCTGTCCAAGAGTAGATCATTTTGGAATTGCAGATGCTTTCACTGAATTACAAAGATTATACCAATGAGGGGAGGCATATTTGAGATATTTCCAGCACTCTGTGTAGCAAATCCATGTATTTGCATTGTTGTAAATTAATTTTCTGTTATTATATGTCTCGTTGGCTTTGTTTATTGTGCCATATTTATATTGCAAATCCTCCATGTGATTACAAAGGAGTTGGTGTTGTTGCCTGTGGGAGTGTCTAAAGTAGATGCTGTAGGAATCCCTCCTCAATTAAATGTCTGTTGTATGATTGCTTAGTGTTGGGGGGGACTTGACCTGAAGAGCAGGAGGTTCCATGCAGTGCTGTGCTGCTGTCTTTATGAAATGACCAGCAAGGCATTGGAATATAATAATTGAATGGGAGAACATGCAGAAGACTTTGTTCTTCCAGAGATTTGTTTTCTCCAAGTAATCAAAGTAATAGTGTTGATGAAGAGAAACTGAGGCTGATTCAGTTGAAGAAATGTATATTAGGAAACTGTGTTTTTCATTCATGATATTTCATTTTTACATGTAGCACAAGTACGGAGCTGCGTGGAACTTGAGGTAGTTTAGAGGGAATTTACAGTGTTGCTTGATAATTTGGGGATGCTTCAAATTTTTGATTTTTCCTTTGGATGTCCGGGATTCTGGCAGTCCTACCCAAAGTTTATTTTGTAAATAAGGTTTTGTAGCCTATACAACTAACTATCCAAGAGTAAGGTACTTCTGAGTGTGACTGTGACCGTTGTTAGAGTCCTAGAATAGTAATTACTAGTTAATTGCTTTAAGTAGTTTAATTACTTTGACCAAGTGAATATGATCACTTGCTCTTCATTCTCATGTCTGCTTCTTCCTCTCAGGCAGTAATGTACTTTTATAGAGCTGCTGTCTTTCCTTCCAAATGTGTATGGCCAGGTCACAACTCCAAGTAAGAAAACAGGAAAGCTTTTCTCATAATTGCAGTTCGATAGAGTTCTAGATGCAGACTTCAAAACCTGAATATTTTTTTGGGGGGGAAATTTCAATTAATTTGAATATTTCATATCCTGTGAATCTTTTCTTTGTAGACTTTTATGGTGCTAAATAAAAAGAGGACTATTTTCCGGTTTACTGCCACACCTGCCTTGTGTGTCTTTGGTCCTTTTAATCCAGTCAGAAAAGCAGCAATTAAAATTCTGACCAATTCATATCCTTTCATTGGTTTCCTTTATTTGAATTTTAGAATATTCTGTGTAGTTTTCTGTCTTTCTGTTCCTCTCTTTATATGAATGTGAACATAAGCTCTGATATAGATATGGCTGATAGAGATCTTTCAGATGTTATATTGAATCTAATGTTACAACGGCTGAGATATTTCCATGATGTTGGTACAAGCTGATATTTGAAATCAATTTTGCAGATATTGGTATGAAACAACCTTTAGAGGCTATTGTATGATATTGTAGCCCTTTGCCAGAACTTGTTCGAAATCTCTGCTGTGGTCACAAGGTTAAATTAAAAACATACAAACAAACAAACAAAGCAAACCAGGGACTCCCTGGTTTTTAAGATAGGAAAGATGGGATTTCTGGTGAAGCTTTGCTGGAGGAGTCTCATGTTCTCCTAAGAAATGTGTTCCACACTCAAGTTTTGAATGTTCTGAAGAGTGCCCATCTTTCATAGTTTTGAAACAATAGAACTGTAGTTTGAGAATGTCAGAATGTGAAGGATTTGCAGGTGCAAAACCATCAAGTGAGTAGTTTCTGCTTTTTCTGCTAAACATCTCTATTCATTTGGAATTATTAATTTATGAAAATAGATCCTTTTAGTGGAGCTTATGTCAGACTTTGAATGTGTATTCCTGCTATTAAAAATTACTAAATTTACTCTTCACTTTCAATTAAACCCTACCTTTAAAAACAATGTTTATTTAAAAAACACCCCAAACAGTTTTATTAGATGTCAGGTGAACTTTTAAGAAAGAATGATTTTTCTTATGCATATTTTCACTGCCTACCACATAAAGTGAGAAAACTTTCTGAACTCCTGCAGAGCAGAGGGGAGTTTTGCTAACATGTGGATATGGAATCCCAGTTTCAAAGGACACTGGTTATTATTAATGAAGTTTTTTCAACTGGTTTTCATTAATTTATGTTTCTCATCTCTTCTGTTAAGCATGTTACATCCCACTTAAGTTCTAACTTAGTTTCTTTGGAAAACACATGAGAAGTCCTGAGCATATTCAAAACCAAAGTCATTATTTGAATGCCTATATGTTTTTTGTGTGGAAATCAGGACCTTCTGTGAACTCCATTGTTTTATAATGTAGCATTTTTTCCTTAACTTACTATTTACATGTTTTGCTGGCATTATTTTTTTTACCGTGTACCTCAATTTTTCATTTTTGACTGTACGTCAGCTTCCAGCAGCACTCAACTGGACTGAGTAAGTATCTCAGAGGCTCTATGTTCCCTCTTTTTCCATGGATATTTACATGCAGGACCGAAAAATGTAAACAAATGTGGTGATCTAATTCAGGGCCTTGAAAAATCTCAGTCAGACCTCTGAGGAAGACTGAGGATTGTTATTATATCTCCCAGTCTTTGGTGGAGCTTCAGTGCCTTTTCTCAGAGGCTCACACCATATGCCCTTTCCTCTGTGTTGGCTAATTTTGCCATCTGGTGTGACGTAGAAGATTGGCCCATTTTTTCTTTTAAGGATTGAGCCTTTTAGAGAGACTGTGGGGTAGAATTCTAATTTAACATCTCTCATTCTACAGAAGCAACTTGAATGTCTGTTATGGTTGGCTCATGCAAAAACTAGAAAGGGATAAGTGTCCATTCTGGTGGTAAGCTTGGTGATAAGAATAGCTTAATTTTCTGTAGGTTTGCTTTCCATGATAGAGTATTTCTCAGACTAAATGTATAAAATGTGCAAACTTTACAGGCTGAAATGAGCCTTTTTTCAATTGTTCTTTTGTTCTGTTGTTCTGCCAGAATGTCGAGGCTTTGTGATTTTCCAGCCTGCTTTAGAATATAAACACAGTGTTAAAAATGTTTGCTAAGGAAGTGTGAGCTCTCCTTCACCTAGAAATAACCTTGTATGCTTCTGTGAACTTTTGTGGTTGCAGATTTACTACCTGCAGTCTTACTAGAATTCAGGAACACATTTTCTTATAGCCATGATGCTTCAGAAAGTAATATAATCTGTCCTATCATAGAAAAGGCCTGAATGTGCCTGAATGTGACTCAATCTCATTAATATTTTTATTTCTATAACTTACATACACTTTTTCCTCCTCAGATGGGTTTTTACTGGCATTTATACTATTGAAATATTGATAAAAATAGTAGCAAGAGGATTTGTTTGGAATGAATTTACCTTCCTTCGAGATCCGTGGAACTGCTTGGATCTGTCTGTTACTATTGTAATGTAAGTAAAACTCAGTTGTTCTTTTACATTGAAGGGAAAAAGCCACAGATAAAATACTATTTGATGTTGCTGAAATTCCTTAGAGTGTTTGGCATCCTACCTGCTAAAGAGTTACTGTGCTTGAACCACTATTTGCATATGTGCAAAGAGAAAAATAATCATAGACTGGCTCAACATGCTTATGCTTTGAAAAGCAACATCCTGCAATTCAGTTATATGTGTTTTCATTTTATAGGTGTATTATGTCTCAAAATATAGGCAATGTTTCAGCTCTTCGAACTATCGAAGCACTGAGGATTTTGAAAGCCGTTTCAGTAATACCACGTAAGGAACAATCTTACTGATATCTTCTCCATTTCACCAGTGTGCTAATTCTGATTCCTCTCCTGTTCTTGCCCTCAGCTTCTGGTAATTTTTTGTGACTGCTGATGGGATCCCAAGGTGTGATTGTTTTACAGTCTGTAGTAACTCTCAGCAGCACCCTAACAGAATTGTTTTAATCATCTTTCCTCCAAATGACTTTGACAAAGGCAAATTTAATTTCTGCATTTTTTATCCCAACACTAATGTTCAGTTTTACTTAGTCCGATGCCTTTGTCATTTTACTTTTGTGTTCCTGGAGCAACCTCCTCTATTTGATGTGTTCTCTTAACATTACATGGTTATAGCCCCCATATTTCTGTTTCCTTAGCTTAATTAGCTTGCTAAGATTCATTGGCTTAATCTTCTCTGATTTCTTCTCAAGAATGTTGACTTCACAATATTTGAGACTTTCATTTGTTTCCTTACTGACCACAGCCACTATCTGGATTCAGTGCAACACTTTCAGCAATATCTTGCATATACCATCCAGGTACTCAATATGTTTCCAAGTCATGCCCCTAACTAGGACACCAAAGGATGATTTCAGGGTCTTCCTGCAAAAATTCATTTGAAAATCTATCTATGACTATATATGTTGTCATAATATATAGTAACTTTACCTATTCTCTGTAATTGCAAATATAGTTTTGATTTTGCTCTGGAATTATAGCAGGAATTAAACACAGAAAGTGTTTAATTTTATTGTCAGAACCACACAAAATACTTTTCCTTTCATATTCAGCATGGAGAACAGAGATCAAGTATAATTTGACTTTTTTTCTTATGAAAAATCCTGGATATCACTGTCTGCTTATATCATACCTCAGATTCAATTATTCTGCCTCAATATTGGTCTTTAATTTATATATAAGGCATTTTCTCAGAATCCCAGAATGGTTGAGTTTGAAAGGGACATCTGGAGGTTGTCTGGTCCAGCCCCACTGCCCAAGCAAGACCACTGAGAGCTGGTTACCCAGGACCAAGTCCAGAGAGCTTTTGTGAATCTCCAAGGATTGAGACTCCACAACCTCCCTGGGTAACCCGTGCCAGTGCTCAGTCACCCTCTCAGCAGAAAAGTGTTTCCTGATGTTCAGATGGAACATCTCATGTCTTGGTTTGTGCCCATGGCCTCTGGTCCTGGCACTGGGCGCCACTGAAAAGCACCTGGATCCATCCTCTTTGCATTCTGCCTTCAGATTTGTTCATATGTGGAGGAGATCCCCCCTGAGCCCTCTCTTCTCCAGGCTGACCAGGCCCAGCTCAACCTTTCCTCATGGCAGAGTTGCTCCAGTCCCTTCACCATGTCTGTGGCCATTTGCTGGACTCTGCAGTGTGTCCATGGGCCAGAACTGGAGCCAGTACTCCAGCTGTGGCCCCACCAGGGCTGGGTAGAGAGGAACAATCACCTCCCTTGACGTGCTGGCCATACTTTGCCTAATGCAGCCCAGGAAACAGTCACCCTCTTTGTCACAAGGCACTGTTGCTGGATGATGTTCAAGTTGGTGTCCTCCAGAATGTCCAGGACTCTTTCTGCCAAGCTGTGTTTGTATTAGGGGGAGGTTCGAGGATATACGGGAATGTGAAAAAACTCGACAATGTGGCTATGTATCAAAGTAACTATTTATTACAAAAAGTGGCAAATAGTGAAAAAACAGGCACTCAAGTGAAAGGGATTAGGAAGGAGGAAAAGTGAGCAAAAAAGAACCTAAAGAGGAAGGCACGACACCCTACTCACCCAGGTGTCACTTATAGGATAGTTTTACCCATTGTAATTGCTTATAAGGCCCTCGGCAGCAGCTGCGTTTTCCAAAGGATTGGCAGACTCCCACTTCAACGGCGTCCCCGATAGAAGCAACTTGGTCCTTTGTGTAGAGCCGGCCCCGAGCATGGAAAACGTATCTGCTTTTATACAATTCATTGAGCACACCTGCCCGGGGAGGTGTGGTGAGTACCGCCCCATCAGGGGTGCTCAATCCCACCCTCTTGGTTATATAAGTGCACCTCTTCTGCGCATGCATGAGAACTTTGGAAATCCCCTCACGCATGCGCAGTGTGTCTTGGGGGTCCTTCCAAACTGAGTCTGGGGGCGAGCCTTCCTCACCTCATCATCACTTTCTCCTCCAAATGCCCTTGACGAGCCATCAGCCAATCACAAACGACCAATTAAAAGAGTTTATACAAAATTTCTCCCTCCAAGGACAACTCAACTGTTTTATCAGTGAAGTTGGCAGGGAGAACTATAAACCACTGCAAGTGGCTATGGCCAAACACAGACCAAAACACCATCATCACAACTCCATCCCAGTACATGTGTTCCAACTGGCTGGTCCCCAATATTTATTTGTTTCCTTACCGATGTCGTAAATGTTCTTTTGCTTTTAAACTGGTGGCATCTGTAAGGGATTACCTTCTAAGGCAGAATTCCCCGAGGCCAGCAGAAGCTGTCCTTCACTGTAATGTGTATGTGGCACAGGGTGAAGTACTTGTTTAGTGTTAATCAAGCACAGAAACAGAAAGCTGCCCCTATTCATGAAAGACTTTGCTAGGCTACCATCTTAATTTAGAATTTGCAAGATAGCAAAATTAGTGTTAGTACTAAGCAGAAGCCAAAGAAGTTATGATTCGGAAATTTAGGGAAAAATGCTTTAGTCACTCCTATGCTTTGTTTTACCTCATTTAATACTCGGAAGTTACAAACCCATTTACTCTGACTGTTTTTAACAGACTTGCAACCGCTGTGTCTTGTCATATGGGAATGTCACTGCATTCCTCTTCTCATTTTGCATATTATTGGACCTTTTTTTTCTAGGTTTGAAAATCATGGTAAATTCAATTGTTGAATCCGTTAAGAAACTTGCTGATGTCTTGATCTTGACTGTATTTTGCTTGAGTATATTTGCTCTAATAGGCCTCCAGCTTTTTATGGGCAATTTAAGATTCAAATGTGTCCTCAATAAAACTGTGTACAATGACTCATTATGTAAGGATCCCAAGATCTATGTACCAAGTGATGAAGGTAAATGTTATTCTTTTCTCTCTTTACATAATCTATGTATCTTCCCATGTATGTCTTGATTTTTCACACAGATGTTAAACTATAGTTGCATGTATTTCTCCCAAGAAGGAAAACCCTTCCATTTGCACGAGTCTTAATAGGAAGTCTCTGGGACAAGTGAATGTGAAATTAGTGAA